ATGTGCCTAAAATACATCCCCCTGTATAGACAATGGGAAGAAAGAGCTCCCTGAAAGCTCCATTAAGATTTTGAATTCAGTATCTGTACACGACCATTGATGTCCCTGTCTGTGTTCTCCAGCTTAGTCCCACTGGGATCCTGTGCTAGTCATCTGAGGGACCTAAATAGGTATGCAGTGTCATGACAGCTTCCCATCTTGCAGGTTTGTTTAGTTATCCCCATGTATTCAGTATTTCCTTCGGGCAACACAGAAGCAGCTCTTGACTCAATGAGTAATCTTTATTTACGATGTTCTAACGTTGCCAAAATCTTCCCCAACCATTGCTTCAGATGCCTAAAACAGCATTAAGGATTTCACTCTAGAGGTCCAGCATTCAGAGTTATAGGCTATGGTATCACCTTATGCTTATGTCCTTTACTAAAGCAAGAAAACCTAGACCTGTTGGTATTACATGTTAATGACTATGGATCAGCTGCATTTCAAATCAGTGGCCTAGAAATGAAAGGCCAAATACCACTTCAAAGTCTTCTCACCCTTTCGTAATCCTCTTGTTTATTGTGGCAGCCCGCTGCTCAGCGAGAATTAACACAAGGGGGTTTTTTTGGTACTTACCTTCAAAACCATCGTTATCAATGTCTCCTAGATTGGCTATGGACTCTCCAAACCTGGCTGCATATAAGTCACTCCCCCCGAGCTCTATGTTTAGTTCTACCATCTTTGCCTCCTGGAGGAAAACATAATTAGTGAACAGTACATTAATAAAGGGTGTTCCAGATGACTTGGATGATTCCTCAAAATGTTAAACTGCTTTTGGATGGTAAGAGAAAATCATAATGATCTCCTTGGTGCACAAGCCAGAACTATCAAAGATATTCAACAGTATTTAGTTCAGTTATACTCAGATTGGAGTTGTTCTTCAAGAAAGAGAACAGCGACGTGTTGTTACAGCAAACACCTCAGCAATAGCAAGCTTATATCAGAGTATCAGTGCTTACAGCACTGAGAAAACTGTGTGTGTGTATGTGTATGCGTGCGCTAAAAAGGTTACTAGTTACTACTAGTAGCTGCTTCAGAGCTATTGTGTGTGCTTTGGTTATTTGGAGGTGTCCCAGAGTGATTTAATTCTCTGCGAGGAAAACATTCATGGTAAGAAAACGTTAACTACAAGTATGAAATAATGAATGTGTATCAGTGTGGGGAGGAGGGAAGGAAAACATATATGAAGATAAAATTAAAGCAGCCATATATATTCAAAAGCAGACAATAAAATAGAGTGACTATACTTTTACTTCTGATACCTAAAAAGAATAAAAGGAAGCTGATTCTAATATATGATCTGCCCAGCTTCTTTATTCGCCAAACTGGGAATGTGTTATAACAGAGCTACCAATGTTCTTCCTTATTTCTACTACTAATTGCACACGAATTTGTCATTCCCTGTTTGCTTCGGAAGTGCTAAGTAAGTTGCTCTTAACATGCCAATTTAGCAGTAAGCATGGTAATGGAAGAGAGCCTGCTGTAGTAGCAGGCTGTAACTATCACAAATTACTGTGAAACACAACCAGACTGTCTTCAGTTTTAACACTAGTGTAAATAACGTATTAAAGCTTATATAGCTAGCATTTGACATGTCCATATGCTACAGAGCCCTGCTGCTGTTTTCCCACTCATCCTGCTCTTGCTAGAAAGTCAGTTTGTTTTACAGATAATGCTTAGCACTACCAGTTCATCAGGGATTCTCATACTGGTACTAAAGTTGTTTTGCCTGTACCTTTAAATACCTTACGATAAGAGATGGGAAATCTCTTTTTAGGTTGTTACACTGGAATGACTGTTACTATGTGTTTTTATGAGAAAATACTTACAGAACCTGAATTGATGTAAACGTAAACTCTTCCTTCTTCTCTGATTGTACTTTGCATTGGAGCACCAACTAGCAAGTCTGAGAGGCCATCTGAATTCAAGTCCACAGCACAAACTGCAGCTCCAAAGTAAGAACCAAGCTGTGTGCAAATAAGAAATCTCGTTATCTTCAAATTCTTATGAAGACACGCTGGAAGTTCTAAGGTGCACAATAGTTACATGAAAGATTTACCTTTTTACCCTTTAGTTCGAATAGAATATTCAGTTGCTTCTCAATGCTAAAAATGTATGCCTAAACGAAGAGAAAATAAAAGCGCTGTTCAGTGAGCAGTAACGTGAAATACTGTTTTGTGCTTTTTCTACAGCGTTGGCTAGAGAATCAGCAAGGCAACACACAACATCACAAGGTACAGCTATTCTGAATTTCCTACCTGCATCTTTCATTAACACCATAGTTCACAGCACTGTTATCTAGATGATTTTCCCTCATTCCTTCTTTGCCCCTTCTCCTCATGAGAAAATGTATTATACAACACTTGTCTTCATTACGTTAACCTAAACTGGAAAATCATGGGCAGAGGGGTAGGGGGAAATCCTCTTCAAACCAACAGTATGAACAATCTCTTACTTTACCAGTCTGCTCCTGTTGGGGAGCCCCTCCAACTACTTCTGTACTAGCCGCCGTCAAAAAATGCCCAGCTCCAACAGAGTATCCTGTAAATTAAGAAATACACTACTCAACACTTTCAATATCACATAGAGAAGAAAAGGGAGCACGCTGTATAAAAGCTGTCAATACCACAAATTATTGCAAATTTGACATACAGACCACAAGCAAGCTACCAATGTAAACACTACAGCAAGGATAACTTTCGAAATATAAGCAAAAGGTCAATAAAAAAAGTAAGTTCCAGCAACTTCCAGCAGCTTCAGAGCTGAACTTGTGTGTCAGAAACACTCGTTTCTTCCCAAGATCTCAGTTACCGGTCATGTTTTAAAAGTCAGTTTAAAAAAATCGCAAACATCTTGCGTTAATGCATGTTCTGTAACTGTTCAGTGGGTCCCTCTTGTAATAGAAATAAAAAGCATCATCTGCTCACTTAGAGCAACGTGGAAGCATTTTATTCAATTGTCATCACCCTGCAATTTAACAATTGTTTTAACTGGACTGCAGAAAAATGAAAAGTAGCACTACTTATACGCATGTGTGTACAAATATTTGTTTATATTGTTTTAGATAAACATTTATAGACACATACTGTATAGTATATGCACACATAAGAAGAAGTCAGGAACACTTTGGCGCTGAAGTTTGATTGGGTAGTAAGAAAATCTTGCATCAGTTTTTGTAAATGAACCTACGCAATAAAGTACTTTGCAGCTGTGGAAAAAGCTCCCGACAAATAAGACCATATTTTGGTGCAAAGTCCAACCACAGAATTGCAAATGGAAGGCTGAGGTCTAAATCTGTAGCTACATGAATCATCCTCACTTTTTCTGAAGGCCATTATGGCTAAGTTGAAACAGGGATGACAGTAAACACAGTCTGCTACTCTTGCATTTATAGGATTTCTGCCAATTTTCACAGCATGTGGAGAAAATGGAAAAATCAGCTTGGATCAGATGAAATAGGCCTCATATCTTTCATCTGTGAAGAAAACTGTCTGGCATTCAAGTTCTCATTATGCCAGCATCTTCTTTTCACGTTTTAAGCTAAAAGAGGTGAACAATCCAATTTATCATTTAAAGGTCAACACCCAGTTTTTACTTATTCAGCAAAAAAATAAGCTTAAGTGGACAAACCTTAATTTACCCCCTCCGACCTTTATTTTCTAGTTATTTTGCTGAAGTGTAAACATTAGTATTTCTAATGAACTTGTTGGAAAAAAAAAAATCACCAAAAGAAACTACAGTAACCAGAGTCTCCAGACTTTTATTGTAGTATAAAAATGTATAAAAATCACATCATTAACTCTTTACATTTAAAAGCCCTACATAACCAAATCCAATTGTACTTCCAACCTCAGAATTCTCTTCTTCACTGAAGATTGGCTGATGGCCTTAAAATACGCTGGCTTTTCATTTTCTCCCTTTTTAATGACAGGTGTTATATTGACTTTCCAGCTTTCTGAAACATCATTTGCCCTTCTCACGTTCCTAAAATAAACTATTACTTTGTGACCTCTTTAAGACAGGTCTTTAAGTAGCTAAGGTTACTCTTTCATCAGGCCCAGATGATTTGAAAGACTGACTGACTTATCTAACCCCTTTAAAGACGACTGCTATTCATTCATCTCCAAGGCCTTCATATTCTGAAGAAATCAGGAAATCTATCCAACGTTATGTATTCCCAGCTTCTCTTTCTAAACTTGCTCTTTGCTTTTATTAAAATCATACTTAAACGTTTTCATTTTTTCCAGCTTATGGAAAATATGATTTTTTTGGTACTCTCTTCCTGCAAAACTCTAATTTGTTATGTATTACTCCAACTGTTTTAAAAAAACTGTAAATAAAGAAGCCAAATGATACTGTCTGCCAGAAGAAAGGAATACTGAAAGTATGTAATTTTGTGTAATCATGTGCCTTGAATTACAGTCTAGGCACAGTATACTTTGACCATTTGGTAAAGATATTTTTATTCATCATTTCAGGTATAAACAAACTCAGTCTGTAAAAGATCTTTGATAACAGAATTAGGCATGAATAGATTTCAGCGTAGCACAGTACAAGAGATGGGACAGAACAGAAGCTGAAGGAGGGCAAGGGAAGGTACCTTCACTTCCTTTCAACTACAATACTACTTTGACGAGACCAAATAGAGGTTTAGGTAGCATGGAACAAAAGGAAAATTTAAACTTCATCTCAGATAGTACTGCGCAGAGATACAGATGACCTAGTTATCCCTTTCTTCTTCGCTTTCCTCTAGAAAAGGCAGAACTGAGAAGGACAGACAGCTCTGGCTTGCCAGTATGCTGGCTGGTATGGTTGCATCGGGCACTGGAGAAGCGCTCACAAAGCAAACTCCAATATATCTCAGCTCCTGGAAGCGTAAGGGAACTAGGAGAGACCTTCTGCAAGAAATTCTTTCGCTGAACCCCTTCTATCATAGTTCTTATGGGGGTTTTTACCCATTTCCCTATACTTGGCTTTCAACTATCAATGACTTGACTCATTCATTAAGGAAATCGCTACTCTTACACTCTATAGAGCCTAAGAATAGACATCTGAGATGTGCCTTTTCTGGACAATGTTTCGCTGCTTTATCGTTGTTGGAAAGCTTGAGCAAAGTTTTACAGCGCTCTCTAAAGTTTTTCAACATTCTAAGAAAAGTTAGATACATTACTTCCTAAGCGCACCGATCTAGATATCTGATCATCTTTTACTATCTAGCATCTCTTTTGCATAATTTCCCCTCAGAGCCAAACTGCAACCTTTCAAAGGGTTGGAAGCGAATTCTGAAGTGTAATCTGTTTCACATTGTATAACAGTTATTTCATAATGTATGTCTCCTTCCTGTTGCTAAAAGAGGAAATCACAAACAGGAGTGGTTTATCCATATGTACTGAATCTATGGGTGGGAAAATGCCAAAACCAAAGGTCACAGACAAAAGCATATTTGCGCACTGGTTTAGGAAAGATAGATGAGCTTTTCTTAGCGTGTACTGAGAAAACGGAAGTTGCTGATGGTTCCCGCACAAAACCCTACAAATTCTAGTGCTAAATATAGATAACTAGTTGGATGTTGGTACAGGGGTAAGAGTTGTGTGGCCCTCAGTACAGACATCTGTAGATAAGGTTTGCATTCCCATGCATCCAGAAACAAGATATGGTTGGAATAGATCTAAAAAACCATGACTGGAGGCAAGCCTTTTTCTTAAGATCACAGCATACCTTCCCTTATGGACACTACAGTTGAGATTTATTTTCTTGCAGCTTTCACATGTGTTAACTTTTCATATTTCTGTTATACGTGAAATCAGCAAGTCCTTTGCTGTAAAAGCCCTTGCCAGCATTTTACACTTTATGGCGGAGTGCAAACCAGTGATAATCCGAAGCATATCTCTCCCTTCAGAATCAAGAAATGATACAAACTCAGTGGAGTGACGATAAAAACAGAAACGTAGTGTTTGAGAAGCTTTCAAGTGAAAAGAACAGAGAAGAAACCTCATAACTGATTACTATTTAACAAAATCAGAACACATCTTTAGAATTGTTGCTCTTGGAATAAAAGAAAGCACTGATAAACACTGTGCGCTTCAAGACCAATTATTTAGCTAATTCTTCGATTTATATAAAGTATTAATTTTTTTAAAAAAATACCTAGATAACTGCCAAATTTCACTTGGTTATTTGAATCTGTATAATCATGGATTGTATTTGCAGTTGTATTGTATACAAAAACAGAACCAGTCCAATAAAATGATCCTGGGGCTCCCATTATAATTAAGTCCTAAAAGAAAAACAAAACAAAGTCATGTTATACATGTTTACTTATTCATGAAGACAGGCAAGCAAGTCAAACGCATTTCTTTAGGTCTCTTGTGAACTCAACAAAACACTAATGGACACGCATCTGGCTGAGTATTGGGGGATTACCACAAGATCACAGACATTGTTCAGACTTTCTAAAAACATGGTTATTAAAACTTTGAACTGCCAATAATTTAAAAGAAAGCAACAAACACGATAGTCTCTTCTCAAAAGAATGTTTTAGAAATCATAATCTATGGGTGGAATGTAGATTAAACAATACACAATATTATTCTGTAAAGCAAGAAGGAAAGTCTTACTCCTATTAACAGCGCATTAAATAGATAACTCCAAAGAGAATAATAAGGCTTCATACTCTGTTATATTCATGTTCTTTTTCTGCATGAAAAGTAATTTTGGATTTGGAGTAAGGTGCAAGAATATTCCTGGTTAGCTGTGTAAGTCTTACTAAGATTCAACTAAAAAGAAATGAAACAAGTCTGATTTTCCCCTCTAACGAAAAAGATGGGAGTATGTGTGTCTGTGTGTACATGCTCACATATATACTTTCATATATGTGTACAGAGGGGGAGATAAGTTTGGTATCTTTAATATATACCTCAATGTAAAAACTAGACATTCCAGCCTGGCATGACCCGTGGTTTTCTCCAAACTTCCGCACATGATCTGGATATTGGCAAGAAATAATAAAAAGAATGAGAAGCATGTCATTTCAGTTTAGCAGATTTCCAACAGAAGTTGAGATAAATTTAAAAAAAAAAAAAAAAAGAGGCTGTCAGTTCTGTAATAAAACTAAAAACAGTTTTCCACTGTATAGCCTTTAGCTTCAAAAAATAGTAGTCTAACAAATTTAAATCAATAGTATCAGTTGACCACAGCTGCCTTTGAAGCCTTATGCCTTTAAATGTTACTTTTCTCTTTAAATTATTCCACGAAAGAAGTATGCCAAATGAAATAATATAAATAGTTTGAGCAGCACAGATGGCTAGGTTTAACTTTTCACGCTCTGTGTACAATTCAGGCATGATTTGATTGACAAGCACACTTATCTTCATAGGAGTTGCCCTGATGCTCCGTTCTGGCTTTGAAGGGTTTGCGTTGTGGATATCTTAGAAGTATTGGTATCTATCACCCTCAGCAATTGTCTTTATATTCAACTCTCCCAGCTCTGTTTTCCTGCTTTTCCTTGCTAGCTGCCTCCCATCAGGCTTCCCTTCATTTCATCCCTAGATTTATTCAGCTAATAATCATGGAAGATAAAAGGAAGATTTCACCAATGCTTGTAACAGCTTCTGAAGCCAACAGAAGGATGTTTGAAGGTATTATTCTTATCAGTCTGTGTGGAAAAGCTAGATTGTCAGCTCTTCCTTGCTTTGACAAGGGACAGGGTTACTAGACAGCTCTCTTACATGACAAAAAGGTATCAAAAGAAAAGCCAGGGATTCAACTTGTTTGACAGTTTCAGGTCTTGATTCTTATTCTGTCACCTGCAGTCTTCTGAGGAGAAGATCTCACACTGCAGGCGCAGCCTTGGCAGGGACCAAGTTCAGAGTAGGGACACATCAGCAGAACGTGAGGCTGCAGGGGCTGCTCTGAGGAGCCATGCCAGCATTAGAGTGAATGCTAAGGAGCGACAACCTCTTGAAGATGTTGCTTGTATTCCACTGTGAGCACTATGCTGAGCAGAGCGAGCAAATGATAGAGCAAAGGAATGAAGGAGCTCCTGTACTAGCCTATTTTTGAGAAGCATACGTCCTTCAGGGGTCCAGTCCAATGAGCAAGTGCTTTGATGCCTTATTTAAGCTATTTTTTGCCTGTTGAAAGCAATTTCAAAATGATAAACATCTTGTTAACAGATTTATATTACATGTTGGGCTTATATCAACACTTAGACTTCGAGCCTTTGGCTGCAGAAAGCCTGAGCAGAACAATACAAGTTCTTCACAATCTTATTTTTTCCTGGAAATGATCCAACCATTCTGCTTACCTATATAGCATGGGCATATTCTTCTACTCAGATCAGTTCGAAAATCAGAAGAGATGGCAAAACAAATACCGTAAGGGAGTTTGTGTTCATTTTTTATGTAAAAGATATTTTTCCATCTATGTCCACAAGCCTATGAATAAAAAACAAACATTGTTTTTGACACAGAAGTAAAAAAATGGTGAAGGCCGTCTGACGAATAGACACACGGTTCCAAAGGTAATACATACAACGATAGATCCATTCTCTTTTGGCTGCCTTGATAAGCTGACACCCAACCACTGATTATCACGCTCTT